TAGAGACAGAAAGTAGAATGGTAGTTGCTGGGGACTTGGGGAAAGGAGGAATGGAAAATTGTTGTTTAATGGGTAGAGTTTCAGTTTTTTAAGATGAAACGAATTGTGGAGGTTGGCTGCACAACAACGTGAATGCATTTAGCACTAGTGTACTTTATATATATACACATGGTAGGGATGGTACAGGTATGTGTATTTTACCACAATTTTAAAAAGAATACAGGAGACCAAGGGTCCTGAGCTGATATTTGACCTTGACTAGTATTTTACTCTTTTCCCAATGATACTGAACTCCCCTTAGTTCTAGAAGCAACCACTCCCTTTTGGGCAATCCATGCACTAAAACTATAAACGCTTCTTTCTTTTGTTTTTTGATTGTTTGTTTGTTTGATTGTTTTTTTAAGCTTATAAAAACTTTCTACATTTGGAGGATGAGAGATGAGAGAGAATGGAGAGAAAAGTCAATGACAATTTAACCTTGTAACTCTGCAACTGTCTCAATGGAAAAGAGATGAAATTGATGAAACACTCCAGTTTTTGGCTACAGATGATAAACTATCTTCCAAGGGTAGCAAATACTTATTCCTGACAAATAGTTTTCTTTAGAAAGCTTTTCCTTGTGAAGGGAAATTTGACATAAAACAGTAATCTCTAACTTAACAAATATTCCCATTTTTGGGTGCCATCACTCAATGTTTCCCAAATCTAGCATTGAATTGCACATCGGAATCTTCTGAGAACCCTGAAAAAGAGTCATCCCTGGCCCCACTCCAAATCTACTGGAGCACATCACCCAGCAGTGAACCAGTGGCTGTGTATTTTCAAAGCTTCCAAGGGCATCTTTATATGTAATCTCCTTGGAGAAATCACACTCAAAGGAGGGACAGTTATGAAAATGGCTGCCTGAGCACATGCTCTAACCTCTCTCCACCGTCTCAAAATCCCTTTGAAACGATTGAACATAAAAGCATGAAATATCCATAGCAGCACTAAACAACCAGGATGAGTTCCATCAGCAGACCAGAACACTAAGGAATTTCCGGAAGATATAAAGCAGATGGAATCAGTAAAACCCAAAATTGCTGAAGAGCTTTACATGAACAGGATTATTACATTGGAAGTTAGTGTGTGTTGCTGGCAGAGTCTCAGGATATCGCCTAGATTAGAGGCGGCGGCACATGTTAGCAGCAGATCTGGGTTGGCTATCCGGTAATTATTGAAGGGCTTGGTAATAGTCTGCCCGCCTCTCACTCTCAGGGTGGCTAACTCCTGAACTCTCCCTAGATGGAAAGTGATGAGAGAAGAAGGTCAGTGCCCTGGGCAAGTTCTGGCGGCCACGACAAAGAGGAGCCCCATTCTCAGAAGGCAGGTTTCTTGTGCACATCCCAAAGGGAAGTCCAACTGGGTGGACACCCTCCCTTCTCCCCGCCCTGCATCTGCAGACAGAGATCCTGTGCAATTTGCATTCACAGTGATGTTTTTAAAGTTATGTTGAGGAAACAACTCCATCTAGACTCATTTATAAATATGAACTACCATCCAAAAACCATGGCAATAAAGAAACAAAGGAAAAAAAGCATTTTTGTTTGTTTCTTTCTTTTGTTCCGAAAACGAATACAGGTATAAACTCCAAGGGAAAAAAAGTAAATTCTACAAATCAAATAAAACTTTACCTTACTCATAAAATAAGATTAAACCATTAGGGAAAAATATACTTAGACTACTTAGAAACTGAGATCATGAGAACCAAGAAAAACAAAACGAATCTTAACCAGAAAAACCCCAGAAGAAGTGACCAGTGGAATGAACGCGTCTGAAGAATGAATTAGTTTTAACGGATCCCCTTGATTAACCACAGAATATTCCCTTTAAGGTGATCATCATAAAACGGACTCTGGCAGGCCCCTCCAGCATTGTGTGGGCTGGAGGAAGGCCCAGGGTTAGAATGGAGTAAGGGATCAGGGGAGGGGGGATCTCACTTCAGGTGCCCAGAACGTGACCCAGGGGGTCCACCCTGAGCCCGGTCCATCAGCTTGTCCAGGCTGTGCCCTCTATCACTGGTGTCTCAGTCCCCTTCATTCCCTAAGGCCTGCTCTGCACTTGGAGTTCAGTGCAGGTACATCTCCCTCAAAGAAGGCTTCCTTCATGCCCAGGCTGATTTACATTTGCTAATATCCCTGCATATCACCACAGCCAAGCTTTGTTCACTGTTATAATTACCTATTTGTGTTTCTGTCTTTCTCACGCTTTGAGGGATATTTGAACCAGAAGCACTGGTTCTATTCAGATACACAGACATGAATATTTGTCATTCGTTCTCTAAATATATCTCACATGCCTACTGGTAGAACTTAAGTGCACTGTTCTAACATCTGCAGGAAAACTTACAAAAAGAGTTCTGTCCACCAAGCTCACCACTAACTATAGGTACCCATTCAACCATGTAGTCGTTCTCTGAACTCAACAGGGTGCCATCACATTTTGGAACTTTCTGAATTTCTGCCTGGTACCTAATAGTTCATGCACATGGACCTCTAACAATCCAGTAACTTGGTTAAAACCTAGAGGCCCTATTATGTAACAGTCAGTGCATTTTTGTCTCCCCCAAATGGACAAACAATTGGATATTTTCATTGCTGAATGCTATCTGAGAACTTTCCAGAGGGAGTCCTACAAGGTACGGACTTCCAGCTTTACACTGCTCTTTCTGCTGTTCTCAGCCCCTGTGATCCCTGGGCCCCTGATCTGTAAACCCAGGCAACTGTGTTATGCCAGGACTACCGCAGGGCCTTCAGGCCCTAAAAAAATACTGTCGTTATCACTACAGATCATCCAATGGCCCAGCTCTCTGACATAGTTGTGTCTTGAGTAACGTTCACAGAAAGGTTTTCAAGGTTTGCATGCTCCAATTTTTCCCCCTCAAACCCAATATATTCTCTATACCGTCTCCTGGACGGCGTACACCATGGGACAGAGCAGAAAACATACCTACTTAGCCTCACAAGCATATCAGCTGAAAGCACTAACGGAGGGTAAAGGGCTAAGCCCTCTTAGAAACACAGAGAAAGCAATTAGAAAATGAAAGCCCTGAAATTGTTGACTCACTTTGCTGGCGATTTCTTGCAAAATCATGATTTTTAAAGAAAGTTATAAATAGTAATCCCATCAATGATATCTTTATTTTGCTGAGTGAGTGAAACTTCTTTACAGGTTGGGAAGAAAATTCCCTCAATACAAGCTATTAAAACTGACTCCTGTAGAGTCAGCGTTACTGAGCAAGGGCTAGCTGTCCAGCCACACAGAAGCCAATCCTAGGGCAGCGGCTTTTGACAAAAGAAAAGGCTTTATTTGTGAGTTGACTGACAAGGGGACAGGAGGCAAAGCTCAGATCTGTCTCTGGGATCCAGGGTTCAGGGCAGGTTTAAGGGGTTTCAGTACCAGATCTCCCTGGACAACAGACCCTTTGCTTCTAAAAGGGTTCTGATGTTTGGATCTGGTCCTTTGGTTCCATGATTGGGGAGCAGTTAAGGGTATATAAGTGTCACTTGTAAATTTTGGTTCTGAGTCTTGTCAGAAACAGGATAGTACCAGTTTGAGCTAGTTCTGCTGTTACACCAGTATCCTGGGCACCTGGGAACATCATAACCCCTACACACAAATGTATATCTCTTTTTAAATTACTGCCCATAAGCAAGACAAGAAGCAAAACTAGTGAGTTCCACAGCAAGTAGGGGGAATCTAAGGATTTGCAGCACCTTAAGCCGCTAATATTGTGAGACATGAGAAACAACATATTGTGAGAATGAGAAACTATCCTCTCAAAACAGTTGGTCTTCAGGTAGAAATTCCCTAAAGAAAACTGAATGTCCCTTCCAGTGCCATTGAAAATAAATCCTACCTCCCCAACAAGACAGAAAGGCAGCTGGAAGGGCATTCAACATAAACAGAAAAGAAGATTGAAAGTCTTTCTGAACATTTTAATATTTTTTCCAGAGAAGAGAAAAAGAGAGAAAGATTAAGGATATTTTCACCTATTTGTGAAGTTCACCATCTGGATTTAACCTCTAACTTTTAGAAATATCGTTCAGACCTACGGGGTTAACACTTAGGTATGATGAAGGAGGGAGAAGATGATAACAGAAAATGCACAAAAACTAAACTTGTTTTTAATAATCAGACGCACAGACCCAGAAGTCAGGAAGAGATGTGCTCTAAACTCTTTTATACTTAATTCTTACCCTCCTATAAAAGCAGATTCAAAGAGCATCCTTGAAGTGAAACTAAAGAACGGAGGGGTGGTTATAAAGCTTAGTTCTGACTGCGTGGCTAAGGGGAAGGAGGAGAAGGGAAGAATTAGGGAAGGAGGAGAGGTCCCTCCACATTGAAAAGTCTGCTGGTCTCAGCTCCACATTTCAGTACTGAGATTTCAGTACTGAAATCTCCCACACTGACACTTTATCACAATATAAAGGATGATATGCTTCAAAAACTTAGAAAACAAAATTTACACATTTATATATTCTAATATACAGTCTCTGAGCAGCATTCATTATAAGTAGGGATACCAAGTTAGAAGTTACGGCCTAATTAATTAGCAATTTGCTCTAACAAATATAGTCTGCTACATCAAAACTGCTTAGTCGCTATACACATTTAGATGATAATTTATGAAAGAAATTCTAATTCGACTGACTAGTGCAGTAAGTGTCAAATAAAGGACAGCGAAATATACGTTGAAATTTCCACCTTTTAGAAGAGAGCAACTCTGAAGTATAATTAAATGAAAAGCACATGCTATACTAATTTCATCATTAGTGGCAATAATATCCACCAGAGCTTTTTTTCTCCACAAAGAACTTGTCACAGCCAGCCCTCTCATTTTCCAATTTAAAATCTCACATGCCAAAAAATTCTCCAAGGTACTTACAATCTTAATTTAAAGCACTAGGACCCACACTATCAAGTTATTAATAAATGACAAGTTGGGAGTTTCCACTTACTTAGATATATTGTTGAAGCTGAGAAACAGACGTTGGAGGCAGGGCAAATTATCCACATCTCTCTAAAAGGAAACAGAAAGCAAAAATTCATCAGCTGAAAGAAAAAGAAATGTTATAAAGGTCTTCTTGCTCAGCTGTTGAAATATATCGTCATTTCTAGTTACTGCAACCTTGCTAGACCATTGATTTCTACTGGACATTGAGCTCCATTCTTCTCCACTGCAGATTAAATGGGAGGGTGTCAGCACATCCGCAGAACAAGCTGCACCGCTCACAAGGTAAGAAGAACGGAAGAGAACAGGCAGAGATGCTGCTGCTAGCCTCTTTAAGCGTGCTTTTGGGAAAGAAGCCAAAATGCTACTTCAGCATTTCAACTGTAGCACAAATATAGTATGATCAAACATTTGTTAAAAATCACTTTTAAAAGGAAGCCGTTCAAATACTTCCAATTTTAAATGGATGCAATTAGCTTTCTAAATAGTACAGAGAATTTTTTCTGCATGTGTGTGCACGCGCGCATGTGTGCGTGTGTGTGTGTGTGTGTGTGTGTATGTGTGTGTGTGTGTGTCCTCCTGTTGTAGTTTGAGCCTTGGCTGCTGTTTGCAAGTCAACAGGAGGGATATGAGAATGTCAAAGCTATTTACCTCACTACTCTCAAACCCTTGGAAATATACTGCTCAGTTACATATGAACCAATACACAGACAATATCCCCATAAAACTAAAGGCAGATCATAGTGAGTGTCACTGAAGGGCACCATAAGAGTAATTTCCAATCCAAGCAAGAATCAGAGGCTCTTACAATTGGAAATCTACGCTGTTCTGTTTAGGTACAGCACCCCAAAGGAAACCTCTGCTATTCAAATATAGTTCTACTCAGCAAATATTGAAATGTTTGGCCCAAATGATTTTTTAAAATCATAAAGTAATACAAAGCTACCTAATTTCATTAAGTGAAAGACACAAACCTTCTGAAAAGTATGACATATACTGGAGTAACAGAATCTTAAGAGGAAGCTTAGCAAATTACCTCACCTATAACTTCATTATTCACATGAGAACAAGTAAACAGTTGAGGTTGCAGGGGTATTGTGGGAATGCGTGGGAAGGTGACCTAGTAGTACATGCTGTCTTAGAGGCTGAGGCAGGACAAGATTCCACGTATCGTGACTTCCAATGCTATGCTCTTCAAAATACTACAGACTGGCACTTCTCATATAAAATGTTTGTTGTTTTTAAGGGCAATATCGTTTACAGTAATTCCTAGTTATATGAGTTTGGATAATGCTAATATAAATATATACATTTTACATATTATTGTGACCAATATTTAAACCCAAATCAAAACCCATTTTACTGTTTCCGTTAGGACATCATCCTTCTTCCTCCTTCCTTTCTTCCTCCCTTTTAAAACTCCATTTCCAAGATCCCAGTAAGAATTTAGGCAAGTGCATTAAAATTACAGACAAGCCCAGCTTTTCTAAGAATGGTTCATTTATTTATTTTTAAAAGCTTGTTATACAAATAAAATACAAAAGTGATGGGATTGTGGCAGAACCAGCTCTCACTGGTTTTTGAGAGAGTATAGGAGAAATGAATCTGGTTTTAAGGCATTCTCCCATGTGGCTTCCTTTGTGTGCCATTCTCCAACCTTCTCTCAATCCCTAAGACCCTAAACAGTGTAAAACAAATGCAACTGCAGAGACAAAATCACTGGCTATGTATACCACTCAATCCACATTACCATTCTCAGGCCCACCTCTGGAAAGCCTGTTCCCATAGCTGTGAGTTATTTTAGAGTCTTTCAACCATGGTCAAGGAATAGGTCTGCATAAAACAGGAAGGCAGCCAAAGTCCCCCAAGTGGATGACAGGGCTACATGTTGGCAAACTTCTTGAATCATCTGTACCAGCCAGCTACCGTATTTCCCCATGTGTAAGATGCACCCTTTTTCAAAAAATTTGGGGTCTAAAAACTGGGTGTGTCTTATACAGTGGTTGTAGATTTTTTTACTTGCACTTCCCGCTTTTGTCGTGCTTGTTTTTGCGCTCATACAACCACTGTAAAAGACGCACCCAGTTTTTAGACCCCAAATTTTTCGAAAAAGGGTGCGTCTTACACATGGGGAAATACGGTACCTCTCTGATATTCCCAGAAGTGAGGGGGGAGTAGGGTGGAGGAGGAATGACAGACTAGTGGTAGGGCTCATTTTATTTACTCCAGGGCCCTATTTTCCAAAGGAACTGGTAGCTTACTTCCTATCTGGTCTCTAGAAGTATGGAGTCATAGCCAAATTGAAAGCCCTCTCTGTACTCTTGGGGAATCTCTTCTCCCCAATTCTGCCTTGAATGTACCTGATATATTTCTGGGCACAAGCATTGTTTGCTGACATCTAACTGGGAGAAAGTGAGAGTCAGTGGCCTGGATCTCTTTTGCATCAAGGCACCTTAATTAAATATATTTGTCTCTGAGTTCCAGCCTACCACCTTCAGAGACTACAGACACCTTTCAAGACATAAATCTTTACTATTAAAATATAAATTCAAATTACATAAAGTGATAATTTGTGAGAAAGATTTTAAGTTTATCTGATCAAATTTTAATGTTTTGTATTTATCTTCACTTATGAAAAAAAAATTTACCAGACATCTTTATCAAATTTTAAAAACTCAATAAGTATCATTACCTGATAGAGCTATGAAAAATACAACAAATTGAAAAACTAAAAATCAGAATCCAACTACATATATCCTTATAACTACTTTAATAGACACTCTTTCCAGAAATTTGAAAAGTAAAGTAATTACCCACAATCATTTTTATTATTCAAAATTTCATGTTTTAAGAAAATTATAACTTTTAAAAAAATTTTCTAGCACTTCTGAGATATACTTTGCAATAAATTACTAGCATTATAATAGACTAAAAGAAAACATATTTATCATATCAATTATCTAAGCATGAGTTATTTACAGGAAAAAAATAAAGAAGAGACTTCTAGAAAGATACTAGAAGATGGTTCCTGTAATATGAGAGAGTAAACCAAAGATGGAAAAACATAAGATCCAGGAAGTTGAGTCACCATTGGAGGGAAGCAAAGAAAAATCCAAAAATGACATCTACAGCACGCTTAAGAGCAACCAGTCAACATTAGAGACAGAGGACAAAGGGCTCTAGATGGGATACCTTCAAAGGATGAAAATGAAACAGATTACCTGACATCTTTGCCCATACACAGAGGAATTTTAGAGTTCTGTTGAGGAGTTTGGACATTAGTTAATGGTAGAACCCTCAACTAATGGGGGAAATGAGACAGTTATTAATGCCAAGGAAAACAAAAGTTTAATATCATGGTCCAAAACACACTTTGAAAAGTTCATCTTACTGTGCCAATCTTAGTCTATTATAGTATAAATTCATCAACTTGAATGAAGCCTCTACACTGAAAAGACACACCTTTAACCAGACCCTTAAGAAATCTCAAAAATAAATATCCTTCCTTTGCCCTCAAAGATATGACTAAGGCTACGTCAAGGTAGTGTGCTCTTCCTTCCAGTAAGTAATAATCTCAGCTTTTCTTTATCATCAGGTTGTTCTGGTGGTATTTGGGGGGAGCCAGCATTCTACAAACTGCTTACTCAAAAATATAATTAATATGGAATGATGGGGAAAGGAGAAATGGAGGGGTCAAGAATAATGTACAAAAGCTAAATTCTTATAGCTTTGAGATAAAGTTAGCACATTTATTTTATTGTCAAGCATTAAACCCTCCTAAAAATTCTTCTCTGGAGATAACAATATCACAGGCATAAAAACTATGGCAGGGCCGGCAGAGTGGTGTGTTGGTTAAGAGCTGGCTTGGGACACCAGAGGGCCCCAGTTCGGATCCCACATATGAGGGCCAGTGACACTGCCCTCTACAGCTAAGGTGCTGAACAACAGCTCGACCTGGAGCTGGGCTGCCATGAGTCGCTGGCGACAGCGTAGGCTGCAGTCCCCTGTGGCAGTGGGTTGCCATGGGCTACCGTGTGTAGCCAGCAGCCAGCGTGAACAGCCAGCAGCTGCCGTGAGCGGCCGTCCAGAGGCTGGTGACTGATCTGCCTCACCTGGGAAGAGCGCAATGATGGTACCAGCTTGGGCCAGTGAAGCAACATCCTCCACAACTAG